GCAGTAAATCAGCATCAGCACCTCTCCCTCTCTCTCTCTCTCTCTCTCTCTCCCCCCCCTCTCTCACTCTCTCCCTTCTCTCTCTCCAAGTTTAAAGTACTGTATATATACAATGATTAGGCATAACATTATGGCCACCCTCCTAATATTGAGTAGATCCCCCTTTTCCTGACCCTTGCCACAAAGCAAAAAAGCAATGTTTCCCCACCATCCAGGATCCCTTTCTGAAAGCAACTATTTGGAGGCCAAGACATCACCTCAAACTCCTTGTTGTGTTCCTCAAACCATTCTTCAACCATTTTGGCAGTGCGCAGGGCTCATTATCCTGCTGAAAGAGGTCACTGCCATCAGGGAATACTGTTTCCATGAAGGGGGGGACTTGGTCAGGAACAATGTTTAGGTCGGTGGTACGTGTCAGAGTAACATCCACATGAATGGCCGGACCCGAGGTGTCCCAGCAGAACATTGCCCAAAGCATCACACTGCCTCCGCCGGCCTGTCTTCTTCCCATAGTACATCCTGGTGCCATCTCTTCCCCATTTAAGTGGCTCACACACACCCAGCCATCCACATGATGTAAAAGAATATGTGATTCATCAGACGCGGCCACCTTCTCTCATTGCTCCGTGGTCCAGTTTTGATACTCACATGTCCATTGTAGGCACTTTTGGTGGACACGGGTCAGCATGGGCACCCTGACCGGTCTACGGCTACCCAGCCCCATACACAACAAACTGCGATGCTCTGTGTGTTCAGACACCTTTCTATCAGAACCAGCAATAACTTTTTCAGCAATTTGAGCTCCAGTAACTCTTCTATTGGATCGGCCTACATGGGCCAGACTTCCCTCCCCACATCCATCAATGAGCCCTGGCTGCCCATGACCCTTTCACCGGTTTTCCTTCCTTGAACCACTTTTGGTCGGTCCTGACCACTGCAGATCGGGAACATCCCACAAGAGCTGCAGTTTTGGATTTGATCTGACGCAGTTGTCTAGACATCACAATTTGGCCCTTGTGAAAGTTGCTGAGATCCTCACACTTGTCCATTTTTTCTGCTCCCAACGCATTAACTTCAGGGACAAATGTTCACTTGCTGCCTAATATACCCCCCCCCCCACTTCCTGGTTGGCCGATATGGCAGCTGCTGGTTCTGCAGTTTTTTTTGTATGGTTTTCGGATTCGTAGGCTTATTGCCTCCGAATCCGAAGCAGCATTACAATTTGTTTCCATTCCGAAACAAATCTTTTTGCCTTGCACTGCAGGGCAACAGAAGCTTCACTGAACTGTCGCTTTCCGCAGCTGCACATTCTTTTTTCTTAATTGAAAGATGCAGCAGAGATCTTGATCTTGAACCGAGGGTTATACTGCCATCTGCAGGAGTAGGATGCTAGGCACACAAAAAACAATGCACAGGGGCCACCCCAGGGCAGCGCTTGGTTATTTTTCTTTCCTAGGCAGGGAAGGCAAATATAAGCAGTTTGAACTTCAGCTTTAGGAGAAATGTATACGGTGAGAAGTGATGCCGAACATACTGAAGGAATTCGAGTTTCGATGCACTTTAAAGGTGCCCATACACTGCTCGATTCTCGTACGAGAATCGGGCGAAATCCCGCGATCGTACGAGAATCGAGCAGTGTGAACTAAGACGTGCGACCGTTTCTACTGTACGGTCGCACGTCTTTTGTCGAGCCAACATGCTCGAAAACCCGCCGAGAATCGTACGATTCTCGGCGTGTTTCTAGCCTGCTTGCCCGATAGCTGCGGAACGGGCCGGTGTGCGCACGCGCACACTGCCCGTTCTGCATTGCCGTCATCGGAAGCCCGCTTCTCAGCGGGGCGGGCTTTCGAGGATCGCAAGTAGGATCTGCCCGTCCAAGGTGGGCAGATCGTACGGGCTTTCAAGAAGCATACGATCATCGCAAGACAAAAGTCTTGCGATGGTCGTAAGGTGTATGGGCACCTTAAGGCTAGCCCATTATATGATTATAAAATGACAAGCCAACCCTAGACCAATCTTTTTATGAGGAAAATGTTAGCATGATTTAGAGGGAGGAGGTCACGCTCTCACATACAGTGCATATGAAACCCCCCCTAAAACTTCCCGTAGAACCAGGAGAGAGCGAAGCAGCGAATGCGTCTTTATTCAGTGCGTTTCCCGTTGTCATGAACATTCTCTGCCTTGTATCGATCCGCCATCCCTTCCTCCTAAATCGCCCATGCCTTGAAGTGGAGAATTCCATTCCTGTCCTCCGCGCCCCTACGTGGTATTGATGGATTAATCATTTATCAATACGAGGTTGCTGGCTGCAATTATATATATAAATGTTTCCATTGTAGCCCGGGAAAGTTCATTTGTCGCGCCGGGCGATAAACCTCTCCGCAGAGCCAGATTTCATGATAACCCGACAGGTCTGTATGATGGTCGTATTTTATTGTAGACTCGATCCCCGCGCTCCAACAGCAGATCATGTAAAGA